ATAAATAAAAAACAAAGAAAAAGCATCCATCAAAACTTTACTCCCTAATTCAAATTTGGGAAAAGATAACATTCACCATCCAGAGTGCCCTCCAGAAGATTCTTGGGTCACAGATAAACACAGGACATTTTTTCTGCATACATACATGCATATTTTTTCACGGCAATGAGCATAGAAGTAGCTTCTTATAAACCATGGAGCTTGTTATTGTTTTGAAGCATGTGGTGTAAGAGGTATTCACGATTGGCTTGCAAAGGTCCCTCAGAACCTCCTCAAGCAGTGAAGAAATGCATTGCAGGAAAATCTATATCAGGTTTTCTATGGCTGCTTCCTCTATTGATGTCAAACCCAAAGTCAGGGAAAATCATTGTGTGCACATTCCTCGTGTGTGGCGCTTTATTTCGGCCTCTTTCATGCAACGCACCAAGTTTGGTTGTGGTTTCGTTCTGCCTTCACATCTGTGAACTCAACCACTGTGATTTATAAACCACGATCTAGGGTTGGTTACTTTTTGAAGCATAGAGTGCAAAAATGGTGTCGTCTCCTTTTGCTATAGTGATAGGTAAATTTCCCCCGTGCTTTGGCTGGCCTTGGTCCAATAGATATGTCATTTCAACAGAACAATCCCAAAGGTGCTTTTTCAAATGGTAACTGGAATGTAAGAGGTTTTTAAGAAGAGGTTGGACAACTATTTGTCTGAAATGGTATAGGGTTTCTTGCTTGAGCAGGGGGTTGGACTAGAAGACCTCCAAGGTCCCTTCTAACTCTGTTATTCTGTTACACACGGAGACACACTGACAAACTTATTATTTTTCAAAATAATCAGAATAGAGAATAGAGCTGAAAGGGACCTAGTACTGTGTTTTCCCGAAAATAAGACCTACCCCAAAATAAGCCCTAGATTGGGGGGCAAGGGACACACCTAAAAATCAGGCTAGGGCAGGGGTGCGGGGGGTGGAGCTGCCCCACGCACCCCACACCTGCTTACCTTACCAGTAGGACCACCACAGCCAGACCTCCCATGCCCCAACACCTGTCTTGCCGCTGCCCGAGTTCTTCTGTGGCCACTTGCAGCTGCGTGGCTTGTAATGTGGCAGCCCAAAGCACCATGCGGCCTCCTGCCATCAGCAGAGGCACCACCGCTATGTGCCACATGGCATCTGGCCACAAGCAGCAGCAAGCAGCCACTAAAGAAGTCAAGCAGCGGTGCGACAGGTGTCAGGGTGTTGAAGGCCTGGCTGTGGCAGACCTAAAGTAAGACATCCCCTGAAAATAAGACCTAGTGCCTCTTTTGGAGGCAAAAAATATATGAGACCGGGTCTTATTTTTTGGGAAAACATGGTAGGTTTTCTAGTCCAACCCCAGCTCAGGAGACCCTATATCATTTCAGATAGATGATTGGCCAGTCTCTTCTTAAAAGCCTCCAGTGATGAAACACCTATAACTTCTGAAGGCAAGCGGTTCCACTGGTTAGAATTTTCTCCTTAATTCCAGGTTGCCTCTCTCCTTGATTAGTTTCTATCCATTGTTTCTTTTCTTGCCTTCCGGTACTTTGGAAATTAAGTCAACCCCTCTTCTTTGTGGCAGTCCCTCGAATAATGGAATATTGCTATCATGTCACCCATAATCCTTTTCTCTATATTGACCTACTCAATTCTTGCAACTGTTCTTCCTGTTTTTGTCTCCAGGCCTTTAATCATTTCAGTTGCTCTTCTCTGCATTTTTTCCAAACTCTCAACATCTTTTTTGTAATGTGGTGACCAGAACTGGATGCAATATTCCAGGTGTGGCCTTACTCAGGATTTATAAAGCGATACTAATACTTCACATGATTTTGATTATATGCCTCTGTTTATACAACCCAAGACTGTATCAGCTTTTTTGGCTGCTGCCACACACTGCAGGCTCAATACAGTAAGAATAGTATATCAAATATTCTGTAGTATATCAACTACTTATAAAAATGAAATATTTAGGTTGTATTTTAAAGGAATCCATCTTTAAAGAAGCAACAGTCAATTTTTTTTACCATTTTACTCTATTTTACCATTTTACTCTATATTTACCAATTATACTCTATTACCCTTTATTGGACAAACTTATTTTTTTTAATGCAGGAGATCACTTGAACATATCAATATCTCTACTGGAGTCTAATATTATGGTTACCCTTATAGCAATATATAAACAGTGAGTGGAGCAACTCAACTTCAGTGCACTTCCTGCAGCCTTGGCTGCAGACTAACAATTTTTTTTTTTTACTCTTTGCTGGGGAGGTTTGTTCAAATGGAAGCAATAGGAAGACATTTATACAAATCAGATCTCTGCTTTGAGGTTATGGTGGAAGGCTGAAGATTCTCTTGCATCTAAATTTTAAATTTTCAACCCTCCCCAAATCCATAGCGTGCTCCATTTTTGACCTTTGGAGCCACAAAATTTCCAATATGAAACAGGACAATAGTGAAAACATACAAGATCAAGTTCCCTACCCTATTTTTCATTGAGAAGAAAAATAAGCATATCAAACCACCAAAGTCTTCACATCATTTATTTCTGAGTAGAACAAAAACCAACCACCAGACTTTCTTAATAATGGATGGGAAAACTCCTATAGTATCTATTATAACCTCTGCAAATATTCCTGGTTGAAAAATGGTTGAAAAGCTTTTCTTCCTGAATGTGAAAAAGTTGTCTCCCATGACATTAAATGTGAGTTGTGGTGCGTGCAGTTTAAGTTGGATCCCA